CCACCTGGACAATTGCTTTCACACACTGAAATCTGCTGGATGGACACGGCACAGACATGAAGCTTGACCCTCACCTTCCTCCCTGAGAGCAGAGCCCGTGGCAAGGATGGGAGAGCCCCTGTGCTCTGGAGTGGTTTTGGTGGGATGGGGGGGCACCAACCTTCCCATCTGAGTTCTGTGGGTTCACATCAGCCCCCAGCCTCGGGCACAGCAGCGTCCACGATGCCACATGAAGGTGCCAGCAGTGTCCTGGTGCCCCCTGCAAGGGCCTGGGAGCCAAAGGGATGCTCAGCCACCATCCAGCCCCAGACAGACCAAGGTGCCACCCAGCCCCTGCCTGGGCACCCTCCTCACAAGCACAGGGAACAGGAGAACTCTGCAACAGCTCAAAAGCCCAGGTGACTGCAGAGCTCTGCCACAATCAGGTCTGTCCCTGGAGGTGTTTTAACCCCTAACACGGAGGATGTTGGCTGTACCTCGCAGACAGCCTGCCTCGCTTTTATTTTGTTTAGTTTTAAGATAAAAGGAGTCCCAGTCACATGCTGTCACTTCCCTCCTCTCTCTGCTGCCACCCTTAACTGTGCAAAAGGGTTAATTGATATAAAAATAACTCAGGGGGGCTGGACAGCTTTGAAAAACATACAGTATTACACACAAAACCTGCAATTACAGCTTGGGGGATTCACTCACTCAAAAATCTTAGGTTTTTTGGGAGTCCAAGGCATGGGACCGTTGTGATGCAGGTCCTGGACAGTTTCTGGAGTGGCTGAAGGCTGCAGACACCCACGGGCACAGGCTGGGCAGGGATCACCCAGGGCTGGGACCAAGAGCATCCCACTGAGATGAGGAACCACTGTACCCCCTTCTCCTGGCTTACCTCTACCTCATGCTGGGATCAGCTCAGGACAGCCCACTCTTGCACCCCTTGATTGATCCAACTGTCCCTTCCTCCCTCTTCCTCCTCAAAGCCTGCTGTGTCCGGTGCTTTTTCTGAGCTTTGCTGGAAACAACAAACCCTCCCTGTGTGCAGGAGCACAGCCCAAGGGCACAGCCCCCACCCCAGCACATTGAAATGCTTCCTGGAGCTCCTCTCCATAATGAAGTTAGAAGGACATCATCATCCTTGCCAGGCTCCCTCCACCCCCAAAGATCAATAACTAATGCTGAACTCCAGATTTTATCTGCACTTTGCAAGGGTAACAAAATAACACCACCCTCTTTTTCTTTTTCTTTCTTTCCAATTATTGAATCCTTTCAAGATTGACCCAGCAATTTTCAGCTTTATGAAATTTTAGGCAGTGAAGAAAGTGACAGAAGTGATCTGCCAGAATGTTGGGAGAACTTTTGTGTGTGGTTTTTAGAAGACTGCAGGAATACAGTAGTACAGAAATAGAGGATCACAAGCACTTTCTTTAAAAAAAAATAAATGGCACCTAAACAAGCTGACCCAGGGATATTTGTTTATCAAGTGCTGGTTCTTTGTGTGCCCACTGTCACAGCCAGAGGAACTCTTGGTAGGAGATATCCCAGTGATTCTAGGGTTATCTTGCCTACAATACACCAAAAATACTCCAATTAAACACAGATTTTGCAGCCTGCCTTTAATATGGCTAAACAGCACAAAATGCAAGAGCTGAGTCTTATTTTCCTTAGAGAACATCCAGGAATAGCTGGACATTAAAATACCCACAGCATGACTGGCCTGATGGCATTTTTAAGGTTACAGAATCATAGAATCATTAAGGTTGGAAAAGACCTCCAAGATCAAGTCCACCACAGAGGCGAAGTGCTCCATGCCAGGCACGAAGTTCTATCTTGGGTGGGGTTTTCAAGCCAGGGTGAGCAGTTTTGCAGAGAATTGCAACAGAAAATCCCTGTTGCTCTGCCTGGCTCAATCCCTGCATTTCCACCAAGCAGTGCTGGAGCAGGCGGGTTACAGACACACAGGAGTGTGTACAGACACACACAGGAGCAACACACACGTGCCAGAATTATGTCAACAAACGCTCTCAATTTTCTTGCAAGGAAATTTATCTCGCCTTCTAGCAGTAGGGAGTGAATTTTAATCCTTTTCCCTTTCCATGCCCACAATGATTATTCCAGGCATAGACTAACGACAGCAAACCACAGTGGATATTTTATCTGCCATTTCTCTTTCCCGTGGCTAATTTGAAGATACAGATTGCAACCCACAAGTGGTTTTAAGAATTGCCATTAACACTGTTGCTGCACGCTACCGCATTTTAAACACGCTTCCAACACAATCAGAGTGTCACAATTTGTAAAATCTGGGGTGATTTTATCGGCGGTTGAGGCGGCAGAACTCACTTCATCACCACAGCCCTGAGCCAGTTCATTAGGCTGATTAGCACTAGCTACCTGCACAGAGCAGGAAAAAATGCCACAAAAAGCTGGACAAATTTAAGTGTGAAGATGAAGAGGACTCTTACCCTGCCTTTTACACTTGATTTTTCCTTCCACCTGTACTTGGCAGGGGCAAGGGCCTGGAGCTGAGCCTCTCTGTCCTTTGGCAGCTGTGCAGCCCCTCGGCACCGGCCCGGCTTCCCTGCTCGCGGGAATTTTGGCAAATCCCAGCCAACAAGCAGCACTGCCCTTCACCCTGCAATGGGTAAGCCTGTTTCCTGGGATACAGCCTCCCAAACAGAGCTGAGCCTCCTGCGTGCCAGAGAACTCCTTCCTTTGCCAGGAGAGGGACTCCAGCCCAGCCTGTCCCCAGGGTGACAGACCTGGGTGCAGAGGACTCCATGGAGCACAGGGGAGGTTGTGGGGTAACATCACCTCCACCCACTGGCGTTTGGAGCCTGCTTTTGGTCCTCTGGGGCTTTTAGGTCCTCCCAACTTAGATCCCATCCACAAGCTTACACTGGGATGCTAATGCAGAGCAAAATGTCATGGCTTGCGTGTAGGAAAAACAAGCTTTTTAAAAAAATTAGCCAATGATATAAATTCACAGAATTGCAGGGGGAAAAAAAGGATGACCTGTTGCCTCTCATCTTCAACACACATAGTGTGGAAAAAAAGCCCTTTGTGGAAAACCCAAAATGTTTCATGGCAACGAAGGTGCCCTCCAGAGCTGCAGCCCTCATCTTCAGCAGACCTTTACTCCTAGTAATTCAGTGGAAAGATGCTTTTGGACAAGGAATCCATCCTGCGGGGCTCATTACCCAGGCTCAATCCTGCAGCCTCCCCAAAGAGCACAGAAACGCTGAAGCAGGGCTGCTAGAGCAGAGCTCAGCACTGGCAGAGCACAGGCACCGACACTTGCCGTGGCCTCCCGCCTCGGGAAGTGCTTACAGCAGCACAGAGCCACGGCAGGGACACTGCAGGGGTCACCTTGAGGAACACCAGACAAGCATCCTGCAGGAAGCACAGGAAGGGCTCACACAGCCCTGCTCTGCTTCAGTGTCCCTGCAGAGCCTCCTGCCCTCCCTGGCAGCAGAGCACAGGCAGGGCAGGCACAAGGGATCTTGAGACCACAGGGAGCTCAGTGGGCAGAACAGAGCTCACTGCAGGCACAGATGGGAATCCAGCTCCAGGATTTGGGACATTTCAGCAAATGCAGACAATCTCCACCTGTGTCAGAGGCCAAATCTGCCGAGGACATGCCTTGCTGGGACCACAGCCCCCCCTTTCTCCTTGTCCCCAGACCACAGGGCCATGGGGCCCTTGCGTCCAGCACCAAAGCTGCACATCAGGCAGCTTTTAAATGCAACAAACAAAGTGCCAAGATCCTGAATGAAGAAGAGTATTTATGGCCCATTTAAGGGTGGTTGTGTGGGGAAGGGTGGAAAATTCCCTGGATATAAAAGGACGTTGTCAGGGATTGAACTTCCCAACCTAAGCAAGAGCTTTGGACAGGTCCCTGGAAAGCCACTGGCTGTTCACACACCTTCCCTGGCTCAAGAGCTGATCTTCCTGAGGAAGTCTTTTGCTTGCTGCTGCTGAACTTGCCAGGGTACTACAATCTCTGACTTGGGACAGGAGTCAGTGCCTGGGGGGGAGCTGCTGGAGGGAGAGGGAGCGAATGCTCTCCCGGATGCTTGCCTGACTCACCCAGCCGTCTGCTCACCCCGAGCTTCTTGTTACAGCAAACTCCAGAGCACTGAGTGGTTCAGACCCTGTGCAGAGATGAAAGGGAGTGGGGAGGGCTGCCCCTCCCTCCCCCCGATAGGCACAGGCTCCTTCCCAACCCTGGCAGCCTCCCCAAACCACTGAGAGCAGCCAACACCTCCATGCCTGGGACAAGATCGAGCTGGGGCTGGAGCCAGGCGCTGCCTCTGGAACCATGGCACAGAATCCACCTCCCTGGCACGGCAGGGAGCGGGGCCCTGGGACTGGGGCCCAGGGGAATACAGCAGGAACGGGAGCAGCTCTCCCAGAGACAGGGCAGCATCGTTTATTTTCACTGAAAGAAATGGCCTAACAGAGAAAATAACCCTCAGCGCCTCCTCACAGACCTGTGCAAGCAACAATGAAACCTCATCTCCCTCGTGAAATATGTGCAGGGAAATTCCTCTTCTGGAGATCCTGCTTGTTCTGAGCTACCACTGCTGGGGGGGATGAGCAGCCCACACTCAGCTTCAGAACTCCAGCAATCCCAGTGAAGGGTTTAGCACCTTCATTTCCTGGTATTTCAGTTTAACTGGATTTATGCCCAGCTTAACTGATGCCAGCCACCTCAGTACAACCCGCTGCTTCCCGGCAACCTCAGCACATCCAGCTCCATGGGATTTACTCTCTCCAGGGAGCCTGACCATGGTCCTTCCAAAGAAAGGTCATTAGATTGACCAGGAAAGTCACTTCTAACAAGAAAATCCAGGTGCCTGGGGCATTCCATGCCAACCAGCCCCTCCTCTGCTCCCTGCAGGACAGGGGATTTAGTGCCATGGATTTAGCCACCAGCTCATCTCACTGAATCTGTTTTTTGCTCCCCCATGCTCCCCACACACTCTGAGGTCAGAGCTCCCAGTCCCTCTTACCTCTATGCCTGTTGGTCGTCTTGTCAAACATTAGCATGGCATCCTCTACCTGCAAGACAAAGAGGGGAGAGTTGTGCTTTAACACACACTGGCAACTCAGACACACCACACACACCAGGGAGAGGGGACACGGGCAGGAGCAGCCTGGACAGAGCAGAACTCCTTGGTTTTGGCCAGAGGCAGCTTCTCCTTTTGGAAACCTGTTGCTTTCTCCCTCTCCCTGCCCTGTCTGACATCTGATCCTGAAGCAGGAAAGTGACCACTTAAAGTGCTGGCCCTAAACAGCCATCTCAGCAACTCTTCCACTTCACATCCATCCCTGGCCGCGCCTCATCTTCCTTTCATGGAGACCAGGAAGGGCCAAGGGAGGAAGTGGGGATGCAAATCAAACCCATGACTTCTCCAAATTGGAGTCACTGTCTTGGCTGAGAATTAGGTTGAAAGAGGTATGAGCAGGGTAGAATCTGGTCAGCCAAGAAAGGTATTCAGAGGTTTTCAAAAGGGCTTTTGAAAAGCTGGAGGAAAGAGGGGAGAGGGGGGAGGGCGAAACTTTAATTCGCATCAGGCTCGGCATTTCCACTTCAGAAGAGAGATGACTGATGAAACGTATTGAAGTGCAACCAAATTGCTTTCAACTTTCATTAGGATTTGCATGATTTATTCCACCTCCATTTAATCTGTGCAGCCACACCTAAAATTTTGCACTTACTGCACAAGGATGTTGTGCTGGGGTTGATTTCCCAGCACTATCACACCTTGAGCTGCTGTTCTGAGGCTGCAGGAGTGGAGGCAGGTGGGTCCTGTTTGCCACTGGACACATCCTGGGCAAGCTCTGAGATGAAATTACAGACTTGCAATTCCCTGTTGTAAACTGAGGGATGATGAAAACCTGTAATATTGAATTATAGAAGGTGCTACAGGAAGGGAGAAGAACTTTAAAGAAAATGTTTTATCCTCTAAAGGACTCTTCTGTTTGTCTGGGGTGTGGCTTTGGGATTTTTTGTTTGTTTTGTTTGTTTGAGGTTTTGGGATTTTTTTTTTCCCTCCAGTAATTCTTCCTGTACTTCCCTGTGCTTCTATTCTGTCTTTCTATAAATCATTTATTTTAGCTAAGTGATTTACAATGCAGTTACATGGTCTCTTCATCTCACACAGTGCCACCAAAGGGTCTACCTGTCCCCCCAAATGTCCTCTTAGGCAGCAGACAAACGGATGTCTGTGACAGAGCCTATGTCTGTGAAAAATTTCTCAGCCTTAGTTGGGGAGAGTTTGGGAAGGTGGTGAGAACACAAGTTGAATCTCCTGAGGCTCTGAAGGACTAGTATGTTCCAGGAGATAGAAAAAAATAAAGTGCAGCAAAATCTTACATGATGCCTAAAATTATCTGAAAACCTGTCTCTGCTTAAGTGGTTCTTAACTTTTTTAGTCAAAATGGTTTGCAGAAAGTGCTAGCAATGGCCTGAGACAGTGCAGAACTGCAGGTCTTCTGATACCCATCTTGACTGGGACCTGAAGATGCTGATGCACTGCAAAACACAAACTGCATTAAGCACGGAGCTGTTTGTCCTGCTGTCTGTCTTCCCTCCAAGGGGGAAAACTCACCAGGATGAGCAATACCAGGAGGCAGATAAGGACCAGGCTGCCCTTCACCCTGCACGCTGCTTATCTCTGCCCCAGGGTTATGTTTGCTCAGCAATCTTTATTTTTCATTCTCACAGGTCTTGGCCTCACTGGAACCAAAAATTACACATTGCACCTGCTGCTGTGTCCTGGGGCATCGCAGCTCCCAGTGCCTCCTGGTTTCCTACACCAGGGGGACACTCTGTCCCCACTCAGTCCCTGCTGCAGAAGGTTTGATATGGAATTTTTCTCCCTCCATTCCCATCCCAGAGCCCTGAGAGCTCTTGGATGTGCAGGAGCACAGACCCAGCAGCCCAGGGAGGTCCCTGTCCCCCGACCCTGCGTGCAGGCTCTCCAGGCTGGACCCACATGTCCTGCCAAAAATGACACCTCCTACTGCAAGGACGTTACTGGGGACTTCAAAAAGGCTGCTGTGCTGGTTAGGGAGAGCAGACATGCTCCAGCATGGCCATGTCTCAGCAGCAGCACAGCCCTGAACTGCCTGTGCAGCCTCGTTGTGCTTCTCCAAGGGCTGCCAGGGCAGAGGAGGGGCTGGTCTCAGCACCAGACCCAGCACTGCAGGGCTGAGGGGCTCTGGGTACAGCCCCTGACCACACTGGGCTCTGCAGTCCCTTCCCTTCTCCCACCTGTCCCACGCAACGCCATCCTCCGGGCAAGCAGGGCTTTGTGCCATGTGTACCAAACTGGAATGATGATCTTGGCAGGGATCTTTTTTATGCAAATAAATCCCTATTAGCAGTAACAAGCACAGGCTGCAGGGGCTAATCCAGGAGGGAGGTTTCCTGGGGCCCCAGGAGCACAGGCACCCTGGAGCAGGCGCTTCCCCCCTCCAACAGCACCAACTGCTGGGATCAGGGCCGGGCAGCAGCTCCCTGAAAAAGGGTCAGCCCTGACAGTCCACATATGAAACCTGCACGGGGGGAGCGTCTCCGCAGCCGAGTTCAGACGTGGCCCAAGTATGCCTTGAAGAAAAAATTATCAGTGGGGTGTTCTTTGAGCCAGCTGGTGCCCTTTCAACAATGTCTAATTGGTTATCTTTTCTCTTTCCTAAGGTCAGAACATTTTATCTCCGTCTCTGCCCTTTCTGTGCTTACCCCACCCTGCGTTATTTTTTAGGGCAGCCATTGTAGCAGAAGAATAGCCTCTTTCCTCCATAGTCCAGTGACACAATGAGACTTCTTGAAACCTCCTGAATAGATAAAGTGCAGTGGCAAAAGGAAAATTCTATTAACGCTTTGCAAAATAAAACATCTAAGAGCTGGTGAGACAAGCAGGAGAAGAAAATCAATATGGAGAGGGCAGCACGCTTAGAAAAACTTTTCACCAGTTGCAAAAAGGTGGCGAGGGTATGGGAGGGAGGGGGGAGAGAAACTTATTAATGCAGAAAACCCATCAATGGTATGGAAATCTGGCAGAACAGCAAGAACTCAAACTAGAAGAATTTGAATATACAAAGGGCTGAATAGAATGAGCAAACCACACTGCCTCACACACACAGCCCGTTTCTCACGGTTCTCTGTGAAGCAAACACAAGCGGCTTGTTCAAGTTTTCATCAAGGAGAAATAAGGGACACAGTCAAGGTAACCGGCAGTAAACCCTGTAGTAAGCAAATTGATCCCCATTTCAGGGGAAGGGAAAAAAACCAACAACCCGCAGCCGAAACTCAAGCACACTCAGGGGCTGTGACTGCCCAAGGTACCCCCCTCCTCCAGCCCAGCTCGCCCAGGGTTTTAGAGATGCTCAACTGCGAGTTTTCCAGGGCTCAGCTCAGAACATGCAGCTTGCACTTTGCATACAAGAGGCAAGGAAGGTTTTTCCAGGGTTAGAAGCAGGACTGGAAGATGGAATTCACCCACCAGGCAGGACTTCAGCTCCCAGCAAAGCCCTGGGTGCCCCAGCACAGGATGGGGAGGCTGAGCCACCTCCATGCAGGGCACCCAGACACCAGCAGGCAACCCAAGCCCCCAGCCTCTGTCAGATGGAGCACGGTTCAATACAGAGGCTTACAGGAGCTGATTATTCTGGACTCATTCTGAGCACCAAGTGAGTTACAAAATGAACAGTCTCAGGACTTAGGGTAACTGAAAAAAAAACCAAAACAAAGACTTGCCAGTGAACACTGGTTACAAATGGACACTTAGGCCCCCAGACTCCTCTGTCCCAGCACAGCCCATCCATACAGCCAATGCAGACCCAGTTTCTTACATAAAGCCTAACTAATGGGCTTCAGTTTATTTAACTTCTTTTTTTTTTCCAATCCACTTGGGGCTCTGAGAAAAGGAAGGGCTCTACCACTTCATTACTCACTGCCTGGAAGGAGGAATAGGGGAGAATAGGAGGAAAGAAAAAAAACCTGGAGGAGCCAAAGGCTTTAATAATCCTAACAGTTCCCAGGGTTATTTAAAATATGCCCAACCAGTTCACAAAAGGTTCCACGGAGATAAATGTATTTGATTTTCTTCCACTTTAATGGAGGCATACATTTAAAGCAACAAAACCAGGGTGACCTAAATAAAATGACTATTAATTGTACTCAGAAAGTCTCTGAATTTAATGCAAGTGATCTAGCCCAGCACAAGAACACAGTATTCTCCAGCCATTCCTCCTACTTTCCTCTTTGGGATTTTCAACTCCTCTTTTCCACGAGACAGCAGGAGCTGATCAGACCCAGCACGGCCCACAGTCACTCACACTGTAACCAACAGGCTGAGTGCCCTGCAAAACCCAGCAGCGCTTCCACGAGAATCTGCAGGGTGGTGCTGCAGGAGCTGGAGCACTGTGCTGCCACCAAAAGCTGAAGGACCAAACCATTTTCTTTTTCTGGAAAACTTTAAGCCTCATCCTGTATCTCTCCAACCGCATGATGCCCACACAGACACAGACCCAAGAGGTGCCCATGGGCCCTCCTTGTGAAGCCAACCTTCCTGTACAAGGATGAGCACAGGAGCAGCACCCATCACCACGCCAGCTCTGTGTTCTGGTTCTTCCATTTGAGTCAAGTTTACTGAGTAAAACTTCCAGAATGAAACCACCATAACTACACTGAAATGACACACAGCAGCCTTTATGCCACCTCATCCAGCCCAGGAAGGCTTTTCCTGATCCAAAACCTGAGTTTCCAACACATCCAGAGTAGGTCGAGGTGTTCCTGTGCTCCCTGAAAGTGTCTCCCTGGGGTGGAGGGGTTGTTTTCCACACTCTCAAACAGATCTGGCACTATGTTCTCCATCCCTTCAAGGTAAAGAAGAATAAGGGCAGACAAATGGCATTATACCTAGTCTCCTAGGACTGGCCCTTGCCAACTGCAACTTGGCCCAGTTTGGAATGATGATTATTCAAAAGACCGGGAAATTGCCACTGGAATGGAACAGTGGCAATTCCAGCTGGGTCTGGGGAGGGAAGGAATT